GATAGCTGCAGGGGGTGGGGGAGGGTCAGTGACAATGACGTTCACAGAGCTCCTGGGGGTTGTACTAGGGGCAGAGGGGGTAGTTGTGGGGGGAAATTAAGGGTGGTTGGGGTCGGGGGTCGTGGTGACGGGAGTCATTGTTTACACAAAAAAAAAACGAACCGAACTTTTCGAGGGAGTTAAATTAACCAAGGGGTAATCAACCTAATGGAAGAACAACACAACAGAAAACGAAACAATTAACTTTATAATACGCGGGGGGGGGGNCCAGAAAACTATACGGGTCCTCGCTCTTGGCTCCAGAAAAGGAAATTCCATGCCTCTTAAAAATGTGGCTGACCTTCAGCTCCCTAGAAGAGGGGTCTGCTGAGGTTTGATCTCTGAAAGTGGCAGTCCTATGGGTAGTCTGGGATAGTGAGGGGTGTGTTGCTGAAGGGTGGTAGGGGGTGTGTTGAGCGTTGGCAGCTAGGGGTGGCATCTGGGTGGGGGCGATAGTCGTGCGAGAAAATGTAGCGTGTCAAGGGGGTTGTGGTACGTCAGTAGGGTGGATATTATGGTGTATCGGGGGGTAGTCCATTGCGTTAAGTCGTGGGGTCCGTGAGGCAAAGGGAGTTCCTACTACGTAANTCGGGAACCAGAAATTCGGGAGTATTTTCGGATTAAAACAGGGGGAGAATGAGGGAATCGAAGAAGATAGGGGAATAAATCGGGCGAAAACGAAATATCAGAGACGAATGAGGGGAGAACGGGATAACCCCTGATAATCCGGTACCTCGCGACAATGGGGGGACACCCGAAATTGTGGAAAATTAAAGTCAGAGGTAGAAGTGCCACGCGTGACGTCGTCAAGACCGACACTTGGACCTCAACGGGGGACAAGGGCGTGAGGGGAAGGGGGATTACTCGAAATAATATTTCACCGCGGTGTGATGTATGTGAGCGATGGTTTTCTGGTGAGGTAAATTCAGATTTCAGGGGCTAACGATGGCAAAAAGGGGGCGGGGGGGGGGGAGAGGGGGGCATAGNAGAAATACAAGGGAAAAATATAACCGGAGATCAATAATTCTCCGGAACAAAGAGTTCGATGCCGTAGTGCCGTGACCTTGCGCGAAACCGCAAAAACCCGCAACGATGATCCACACGCAAAGGAATTTGCGCAAAAGTAATATTATAGGGGGGAACTGAAAATGAAAGATTAAAGAGAGTAAAAAAGGGGGGAAATCGCGTGGATAATGAGCGCCTGGCCCCACGTTGGGCGCCAAATTGTGACCGCGTTATCTGATGGGTGAAAATCCTGAAAATGGGTTTTAGGGGTGTCAAATAAGCGTAACAAATAAGAGGGTGTAAATTCAATGAAATGATGTATTTCCAATTAAATTTACAGATAGATAGTGAGGCCTTTTGACTCTTATCTAGGGGGAGGGTAAGGCCAGGCGACTCGAACACGTGCAATATCGGGAAGGCTCTAATTAACAAAGAAGGGAAGAGTTTAGTCGTGTCTAGGGGTGTCTCGACTCTTACAATAATTATCTCACTGGGGGGGGGGAAGAAACACAAGTGTGGGCTCACCGCTGGGGGGACGGAACGAGGAGATAAGGCTACAGAAATAGTGACTGGGAAAAGGGGAAAATAGCTCGTACTCACAGGTCCTCTCGATACTGGGGAACTGTCCGGGGTAATTCACACCTGGGCCTTCTCGGGGTCCTCTCCAGGGAATACTGAGCCTCCTCTCCACCTCAGGGTCTCCTGGTCTATCTCTCCGACGTGGGATGAGGTCCGAAGTCCTCCAACAATCCTCTTTACACTCTGGTGGCTCTCTGGGCACAATTAATACGACGTGTCAACTGGGGCAGTCGTGAGACGAGTGGCTTTCCTTCCCGTCAACGTCTTCTTCGCAGGGGGGCAGATCGAGGTGGGCCAGGAGCGGAATCGTCATCCGCTTTTCGGGTGCCTGAGGTGAAGGGGGCGTTCTTCGGGGTTTCTTCCCGGGGTGCCGGTGTTCCACTTTTCGTCTAGGGCCGGAACTGTTCTCCATCCTGGGGTCTCATCGTTGCTGGTCGAGGGGGACGGATGGGTGAGGTGGGGAGGGAACTAGAGTAGCCGTGGGGGGGGGGAAGATAAGGTAGCCAGCGGTGGCCAAATATATAGTATTAGGGGGCAGTGTAGTTGGGGGAGATAAAAAGTATAAAAATAATGAAAAATAAAAAGGTTGCCTCGTTGCAGAGTTCTTATTCGTAGAAGAAATTAAACAGAAATGTATACTTGTGTAGAATTTCAATAAATATATTTTCAGTGCATTTTTCTTCTTCTATTATTTAGAGCCACGCCGAGAAAAGTGCCGTTCAAGGTACGACGTGTTAGCAGCGCGAGCCGAATGACGCCGTCCCTTAAAACAGCACTTTTCTCGGCTAGGCGCACAATATATTATATCATGTAGATTACATGTCAAAGCTGCAATATTCATTAAACAAAATTAATCAATGAGATCCATTGTTTGAAATCGTTCAATATCCACGGGCCGCTAGGCCCAGTTTAACAAGGGGTAACAACGGCTCGGTGGCAGCAACTGACGGACCGCCTCGGCATTACCGACCCACTACACACAACTACGCATTTCCACGCCTCACTACTTACGCAACGTCTCCGATCACGTATACATCGCGCCTTATCGCCCGCTCGGTTCTTTATTAATTATTCGGTCCGCTCATTCCTCAAAGTGTAGTTCAACTAAACTCAATTATTGCTCAGTGCAACACTCATTATTATCATTATTAACATTTTTTGACTATTGTAACTTGTAAGTAATAATTAAACTGTGATTGTGTAAAACCACATGTGGGGTGCTTCCTCATTTTTTGGACCCAATCATCCTCCCAAAAAATCCACTTATTACTGAGCCATCCCTCTCATATCCCACCAATCTGGAACCCATCATCAAACAATTTAGTCCTTCGAGCCGGATTAGTGGGGTAATTTTTATTTGGTGGTTTATCGCGTTTTTTCTGGAGTGAATGGTAAGCGTCGCATTTCGTGGTACTCAACCGACGGCTCCATTCAACGCTCGACTCCAGGCTCATCCGACGCGACGGTGCTTAACTGCACATCCAGATCCGCTCCACCGCGGGATTATTTGAATGGGAGTCATCAGTTGGCACTCACGGAATTCTCACCAACTGCAACCAGTCTCCTGCATTCTCAACTAGCTTAGCTCAACTTGGTGTGATTAGCTAACTAGCCTACTCTCTTCTTCGTTTTTTAAATTTTGTTACAGGGTTTTCTAATTTTTTCTACCAATTCTGTGATTTTTCTCCTACCATGGCATCGTTCGAAGAAACGGTCGGTCTCAACGTTTCTAGAGCTGTATTTTTAGAGCGTGTTCATAAAGAGCTACTCACTGAAGAGGCCGCTCAATTCTCTATATCGAATCTTCAATCAAGGCTGGAGATTCTCGAGAGCCATTGGGAGAAGTTTGAAAGCACTCACGAGAAACTCGTCGCCAGCAGTGGGAAGATTGAAGGCGTCTTTGAATTGCTTTCCTTCATTGACAAATGCTTCGACATCAGTATCGGGCATTACCATGAGACGCGTGGTATTTTGAATCAGCTGATCGACAAGCGGGGGGTTTCGTCCACCTCTCGTCGTTCGATGTTATGTGGCACTGCATAATCCACGTATTCCAAACGTTATATTCTTGAGATCTCGGTGCCGAAGGGAAGTACGCGGACTAGCGCTCATTTACGGATTTTTCATCATCATTGGTCGGCTCAAACCCGTATCTCTCCAACGTCGAGAAGATGCATTACCTGCGTACCAGTCTCTCTAATGAGCCAGCTCAGATCGTCTCGAATCTGACTATCTCAAATGATTCGTTCTCGACTGCTTGGGAGCTCCTGTTGACTGACTACGAGAACAAGCGACTGCTCATCTCAGCGCACCTGGAACAGCTCTTGAATCCTCCTGCAAGGTCTCATATCGCCAAGAATTAAATGCCTTGATCACCGTGGTCTTCGAGGCGTTGCATGCTCTTGAAACTCTGGCATCACCTATAATACAATGGGATCAAGTGGTCCACACTGCGGTTCAATGGCTCAGTTCGAAGTTCCGTGAAGCATGGGAGGTTAAGGTTAAGTCCTCCAATGATTACGCCAACTTCTCGGACTTCAAGGGGTTCCTCACCGACAGAGCACGCGCAATGGAGAGCATTGAGATCAACTCGCTCGATCAATCGTCCAGCTCCAGTAAGAACACTCAGGCTCAGGTTAAGCAGGCAGACACTGCTCGGGTCAACACTGTCACCACTTAATCCAGTCGATCAGGTCATTCAGCTCCCACCAAACCCACCACTGGCAAGGTCCCCTATCCCTGCTCAGCTTGCGAGGGTAACCATTACCTGTCATCCTGCACCCTGTTCAAGGCACTGACGTTAGAAGGTCGTTGTGATGTGGCTGAACGACAATACCACTGCTTCAACTGCTTGGGACGTCACGGGGTGAAGGATTGTCGGTCAAAGCTCAACTGCCAACTCTGTGTTGGGCACCACCACTCACTGCTCCACCCAACATCATCGAGTCACCCATAACGGGCAACACCAGCCGTTCAGCAGACTCAGACCTCGACGCCCAGCTCACCCCCAAGGAGAAGCGTACCAGCGGTCACGTACACTCACTCGAACGACTCTGCTCCGTCCGTGTCAGGGACACCGGGGACATTGGAGTGAAGCTCAGTCGCTCAGAATGCCGTCTCCAGCTGAGGTCAACAGAACGACTCAGGATTAGCTCAGGATTTCCGTCCTGGGGTTCTCCTGGCTACAAGCATCGCCTTCTTGGTATGTCCAGGCCGACCAGCTCATCAGGTTCGTGTACTCATCGACCCCGGGTTGGAAGTCTCCACCATCTCAGACCAGATCCTCCATCAGCTTTAATGCGAAGACCTCAACGTTCTTCGCATCAAATTCTGGACTCAGAAGGAGGTTCCAGAATCACCAAAGCGTCAGCTTACTGATGAGGAGGCCTAGTGCGAGGAGCACTTCAGGCCCACTCACTCCAGGGACAACTCAGGCCGTTAAGTTGCGTGTTTTGCTCCAGCTTGTCGAAGACGAAGGGTCGAAGTACCCTCTCTCTGTGGAACGGCTTATCAAGGGGAGATATGTGGACGATATATGCGGAGGAGCTGATTCTGAAGACGGACTTCTTCGAACAGCTCATCAGGTAACTCGACTTTGTTTGTCAGGCGGCTTCCCATTAACCAGATGGAATTCAAATAGTCCAGCTCTGCTTAATTCGCTCAGTCCTGATAGCGCCCCTCAAGGACATCGAACCTTCGAAGACAAGGACTCACCCGCCAAGATCTTGGGGGTTTCATGGCATCCCGGCACGGACCGCTTCACCTTTTCAATCTCACTGCCTAAAACTGACTCAATCACGAAGAGAATCATCCTCTCGGAAATCACTCAACTCTTCGATCCACTTGGCTTCCTAATACCAGTGGTAATTCACGCCAAGATCTTATTACAAGCTCTTTGGATCGAGAAACTGGGATGGGACGAACCAGTTTTCTCGATAACTGCCAAGCAATGGGGGCAATTCAGGAACGAACTCACGCAGTTGTCGAAGATCACGATACCTCGGTGGATTGGACTGCTCACAGACTCCGTTATGGAAATACACGGATTCTCCGATGCCTCACAACTCGCAATGTCAGCCGTAGTTTATCTCAAGGTCTTCAACAAAAATGAAGAACTTCGAATCATACTCGTCTGCTCCAATACTAAGGTGGCATCGCTCAAGAGGCTGACAATTCCACGCCTGGTACTCACTGCAGCTCTTCTCCTGGCCAAGTTGGTCAAATACGTTCAGGAACAACTCAACCTCACTAATACCACCACCTATCTCTGGACCGACTCATCGGTCACACTGACGTGGATCAACTGACACTCATTAAGGTGGAAGAAATTTGTGAAAAACCGGGTATCACTAATCCAAGAGCTCACTCAGCACGCTCATTGGAGATTGGTACCAGGCAAGGACAATCCTGCAAACTGTGCTACTCGAGGTCTATCACCATCGAAACTGGCAGCGCATAACCTATGGTGGACAGGATCACCGTGCCTTAATCACGACAACTCATCATGGCCGACTCATGTCTTGGAAAAAGACCTCAACGTAAACCTCGAGGAAAAACCAGAAGTTCTACTACATGTGCACGCACAACCACTCGCTCTCTGAGATCTCATCGACAGATTTTCATCTTTCAACCGCCTGCTCAGGGTCACCGCAATCTGCCGAAGATTCATCGTTCGGCTCCGGAGAGTTCCGAAATCTTCTCTATATTATCCACTCACTCTTGGTGATATTGAAGAGGCTCGCATCATCTGGATTAAGCTCACTCAGGCGCTCATCTCAAGGACGAACTCAGAACTATCTCCAGAGGTGGGTGATTCACCAAGTCTCACCCTCTCACGAAGCTCACACCATTCATCGATCGCTAAGGGGTCCTAAGAGTTAGAGGTCGACTGAAGTTCGCTCACATCCACCCAGAGAGCAGAAATGAGGCAATCCTTCCGAAGGAATTTCAATTGGCTCAACTACTTATCGGATAAGCTCATCTGCAAACGCTAAACAGAGGCACTCAGCTCACGCTTAGTCAGCTCAGGTGTAGCTATTGGATACTCGGAGGCCGGGCACCAGTAGGCTCCTTCATTCTCAGGTGCGTAACATGCGCCCGCCAACGTGGAGCACTGGCTCAACAGCTCATGGGTCCGTTACCACCAGCTAGACTCACGCCCGCTCGTGCCTTTCTCAACACTGGAGTCGACTATGCCGGCCCAGTGTCACTCACGTCATGGAAGAGGCGGGGTCATGAATCGTATAAGGGCTAGTTGGCAATCTTCGTCTGCATGGCCACCTCAGCGATACATTCAGAGGTCATATCAGACTACTCAGCCGAAGGATTCATCGCAGCCTATCGTTGGTTCACGAGTCGTCGTGGAATATGTAAATCCTTGTTCAGCGACTATGCTACCAACTTCCTCGGTGCGGACAAGGAACTCAAATGACATTTCCCTCTAGGATCCTCAGAAATAAGACAGCTCGCTCATCTACTGCTCAACGATGGAACTCAGTGGTATTTCAACCCTCCTGGAGCACCTCACTTCGAAGGGAAATGGGATGCGGCGTTAAAATCGGTAAAACATGATCTCACTCGGACAATCAGAAGAGATCCACTCACGATTGAAGAACTCACGACTTTACTGGCTCAAATCGAGGCCGTTCTCAATTCTCGACCACTAGAATCCCTCACCGATGACCCTGAAGACTGCTCCGCCTTGACACCAGGACATTTCCTCATCGGTCCGGCTCCCACCACTCTTCCGGAACCCTCACTGAAACAGCTCGACGTCTCTCGACTCTCCAGGTGACAGCTAATTCAACAACGTCTTCAAGAATTCTGGAATAGAATTCTGAATTCTGGTTCACTGGATATCTACAACGACTGCAATCAATTTCCAAGTGGCACCACCCGACTCATCAAATCAAGATTGGATCACTGGTTCTACTCACTGACGAGAGATTCCCGCCAACCAAATGCCCTCTCGCCCGGGTGCCTGCTCTTCATCCAGGGAACGACGGACTCACCAGAGTAGTCACCATCAAGATGGCTCAGACCACGCTAACGAGACCAATCGCCAAGCTTGCACTCTTGCCGATCTGACCATCCGAAGAGTAGAACCAGGTCATCTCACCGACGAAGTCTCAAGGCCCTTCACCTCGAGATCTCAACAACCGTGATGGATTTACCCCCCGGAACAACCGATGAGATTCGGAGTGAAGATGAGGAGATCCGAGTCTGGACAGGATTTACGACTTGGTGATTCTCATGCTTGGCCACCAACGCCTACCGGACAGCTCAATGGCTGAAAAACATAAACCCTTTACTGGGACACCTTGATATTTTCTATTGGTTACAGCTCACTTTCATAGGCTATGTCATCAGTCAACTCTAGTTGCTAATCGTGGGAAAGAATGTTTGAAATCGGTCAATATCAAGGGGGCCACTAGGCCACGTTTAACATGGGGTAACAATGGCTCGATGGCAGCACCTGATGGACCACCTCGCCGTTACCGACCCAATACACACAACAACGCATTTCCACGCCTCACTACTTACTTAGGCATCGTCTCCGATCGCGTATACATCGCGCCTTATCGCCCGCTCTGTTCTTTATTGATTATTCGGTCCACTCATTCTTCAAAGTGTAGTTGAACTCAACTTAATTATTGCTCAATACAACGCTCATTATTATCATTCATAACATTTTTTGACTATTGTAACATTTAAGTGAAAATTAAACTGTGATTGTGTAAAACCACGTGTGTGAAGCTTCCTCATTTTTTGGACCCAATTATCCTCCCCAAAAATACACTCCTTACTCATCAGCCATGCCTTTCATATCTCAAAAAAATTGAACCCCTCATCAAACATTCATCAACAACTCTTGACAACCAAACGTCCACCTATCGTTCTATTCTCTTCAACCCTTCCCCACAATATGTGGATTATTTCAAATACTTGTTTAATGAAATTCCCAAAATTTCACGACATTTCTGATGGTTAGGTTTTGACCAAGGGACTGCCCTTGGTCAGAACATCACCCCCCATCTCATTTGTAGACACGTATTCTAACTTCGGATCATTGTTACTGTTGACTATGCTCACAGCGTGATGTTTCACGACGACGTGTTTTGTTCGATTGTGCAAAAAAAAGTTCTCAGCCACTTTCAGAGCCCTATTGTTGTCACACATCAATTTTCCTCTGGCACGATTTTCAAAACCCAACTCGACCAGAAAACATTGTAGATATGCAGCTTCCTTAGTAGCCTCGTTCAATGCCATACATTCAGCCTCCATTGACGATAAAGCAACTGTTTTCTGATTTTTAAACTCATTGGAAATTGTACATTCTCCTAGAATAAATGCAAATCCAGTTTATGATTTCCTATTATCAACGCAGCTCACCCAGCAGTGGTTCTGATGTCTTCCTGTATTTCAATACGACATCTCGTATGCCCTTCAATTATCTGAGTACACTTTTCGCAGCGATCCAATGTGTTTTTACGTAGCATGAGTTGTATTGACTGAGATAACTCACAGCGCGACTGATATCTGGCCTTGTACATACAGAGAGATACATCAATGATTCCACAAGTTTTCTGTACTGTAGATCCTTCCATTTTTCGAGTTCTGTACTGTCTTCACATTTGATCAATCTTGTTCCCAGTTGAATTGCAGTAGTTACGGGTTTGGAGTCCATCATTTCGAATTTCTCGAGAACATTGTTCAAGTATCCCTTCTGTGTCATGATTATTCTCTCCTTTTTTCTCAAAAATTCTACCCCCAACCAATATTGTACATTTCCAAGATTCTTGAATTCGAAAACGCCTGATAACTGTCTTTCAAAATCTGTAATCAATTTCTCCTGTTCCGAAACGACTAGAATGTCGTCTATATAAATGACAACGATGAATATTCTTTCCCCTCGTCCCAAATAGAATACACAGGGGTCATTCTTCGATTGTGTTAATCCAAAATTTCCGACTTCTTCACATAATATCTCGTACCAACTCCTTCCAGACTGACGTAATCTACACATCGCGTTCTTCATCTCACAAACTTGATCCCCTTTCTGAAAATTATGGAGCATAATTCTTATTTTTCTACTAATTTCACTCCCTTCAGGTTCTGTTCTAATAATTTTTTTATGATCCTTTCTGAACAGTCTGGTACTTCCATGTAAATTTTCTCGTGTAGAATTCCATTCAAATATGCAGTAGTCACGTCGAATTGTTTTATGTCCAGTTGATACTCTGCTGCAAGTGACGTGATCATTCTTATGGAATTTTGAGGAGCTACTGGAGCAAAAATCACGTTGTAGTCTATACCGAGATGTTGAGTGAAACCCCTCGCTACAATTCTCGCCTTCCTCTTCTCCGAAGTTCCATCAAAATTGTAATTGTTTCTCAGGACTTCCTACGATTTTTTCTTTTTCTGGCACATCGACTAATTTCCAAGTATCATTCTTGATGATGGATTTCATCTCTGATGCCATTACTTCCAGCCATGCCTCTGAGTCTGGTCTCTTCCAAACAGTCATCGATTTCTTCTGCATGTCCGATTCTCGTTTCTCTTGTGACAGGTTTTATTTGGAATTCGACATCTCTTCCTTCTCGATATTCTCTTGATCCTCCAGATGTATCAGTAGTTTTTGGATTCATTCTCAAGTTGATTTTGGACTCATTTATGAATTTAACATCTTTCGTCACGTCAATCCGTCTCTCTTCAGAAATCCAAACTCTGTATGCCTTGGATTTCACAGAATATCCAACGAAGATTCCCTTTGTATTTCGAACATCAAATTTTCCAGGGTTCTGCTCTCTCCTGTGAGTATAGACATTGCAACCAAATTCACGGAAGTAAGACACGTTTGATATTCTTCCAGTCCAGTTCTTCTACCATTCAATGCTCTAGAAGGACATCGATTTCGTGTGTAGTTTGCAGTATTGATGGCTTCACCCCCGAATGATTATGATAAACCCGACTGGATCAGCCTACACCTGGCCAGTTCGACTAAAGTACGATTTCTTCTTTCAGCCAGTCCATTTTGTGCGGGCGTATGTGTCACAGTCAGTCTTCTTCCAATCCCATTCTGCTACAGAAAATCATCCAAAGCATAATTAACATACTCCCTGCCATTGTCAGATTGTAGGCATTTTGTTTTCTCTCCAATCTGATTCTCAGCGAAAGCGTTGTATTCTCTAAAGGCATTAAAAAGTTCACTCTTCGATTTTATCGGACGTACCTCACACCATCCAGAGTAATCATCGATAAAAGTTACAAAGTATTTAGCCTTCCCATTTGATTCAACTGTCGCAGG